AGGAAGGGGATTTGGAAGGAAACTGACAACAGGACAATGAAGTGTGGAGGGGGCTGGGCAACGGTGCTAAAGAGAAAGTGCCCAGCGGACCAACTGCAGGAAGTTGGACCAACTGTGCTTGTTCCTTTTTCTGGTTTTTAAGAATAATTATGTAAAAAAAACAAAACAAAACCCATGCTTATTGTAAAAACAGAAAAAAGGAATTACTGGTGATCATAAAGAAGAAGACGTCAGTAATCAGCAATCTCACAGCCCACAGAGAGCCAGTTCTAATTCTGACATGTCCCTTTAGACTTCCTTCTTTGCATACTTACGCAAAAATGTTTCCTTTCATTAAAATTGGACCCTGCTGCTTATATTTTGGTAATGTGTATTTTTACTTAGTTTATTATACATCTCTTTTGCACATTAATAAATACACTTCAAATCATTCGTGAAGGTGGTTCTGTCATATGAATGTACATATTTTAGCTAATCAGTTCCCATGAGGGGAATGTTGAGGGTTTTTTTTTTCCATTTTCCACTGTTATTAATAGTCCTGCGACAAGCATCCACTGACATGTGCTTTTCATATCTTGCCCTTTCCAAGTTGCAATATGCATGCTATCTTCTCTATCTGCCTTTTCAGCTCAGAGCATCTGGTGGTTCAGGTCCCAAACTTGGATCTATGCTGAGTTGTTTATGAACCTGCTTTAAGACATGAAGGTTGGGAACTATCGTTGATGAGCAATAAATGGAACCACTTGTGTCCGACTCAGAATTATCAAAGTACATCTACTCCTGAAGTTGCAGAAACCAAGTGAGGAACCCCTCAGTCCACATTTTTTTGAATTCAGAATGATTCTAGTGTCTAGAACCATTTCTCACTGCCACTTCTAAACTGACTTTCCTGTTCCTCCCAGTCCCTCTCTCTTTGGCCAGCTCTAGTTCAGACTTCATCTTGGAACTCATCTCTGAACTACTTCTAACTATTTCCTGGGACACATGTAGCATGTCTCTGAGACTGCATTCTCTTAATTGCTCCTTCAACTCCATGCAGCTAAGCCAGTGGGCAAAGGAGACCCACACCTTTGCACCTGTCCTTGGCTCCTAGGAGAGCACACCTGGCCCCATCTTGGTGGAGATGGAGCAGCTCACAGGTTGTGAGAGGGGCTCGACTTCACCCTCTGAGACCTCTTTCCCGTGTCCTCTACTTGTTTGGACTAAGTATGTGTGAGTCCTGGAAAAGAGGAGTTTGAGGAAGAGGCATTCTTATTTCATCACAAGCATATCAGAAGCCCTGAAGTCTGGTCATGTCAGACACTGTTGCCTTAAACCATCAGATGGCCAACTCTTTCAAACGCCTGGATGAGAGAACTTTTATTTGGAGGAGTTCAGCTCAGCCATTCCTTTAGATCAGCATTTCTCAAACTGTGGTCCATGCATATCAAATGTGGTCTCTAGCTTTCTGTGAGCTTCTAAAAGACACTCCTGGAAAAACCAGGGGTGGATGGAGAGGGGGGTTCCCTCAAACTTGGAGAGTCACGTGACATTAGAATATGAAAAGCTCTTGGAAGTCCTGAAGTTAAAGTGCTATCTTGGTTTTGTTAATTCTGATTTTATCTTGAACTGACCTGCCTGTGAAACCCTTTTCTCTTGGAACAGTTATTAGTGCTGTGTATACCTATGGGGTTTTGAGGGATGCTGTTGAATCAAACTAAACCCTTAGAAACTTGCATTTGACTCTGCTTTCTAGGGGCTCTCAAGAGTTGTATTTTGGGGCTATTTTGTTGGCTTTCTTCAAAGGATACTCTAAGAAATAGGTTTATGAAATGACATAATTGACTCTTTCCCATTTTTGCTTTGGCCACCAGGAAGTTCAATGACAGCCACTGTGAAATAGCGCATTTGGCATGTGGTGCTGCAGTCCATCCCCACCCATTCTCTTAGTCTATACTTCCCGATTCTAGTCTACGGTTCACCTAGACCTTGGTATATATTTTCTGTAGATTATTTTAAAACAGTTGTGGAGAGAGGAGATGTTCAAAAAAAAGAAGAAATGAAATGAAGAAAAAATAATAGAGGAAGAATTGGTAAATATAGGACAGAAGGCAGAGGTAAGGATCAAGAGTGCGGGCGTGTAGCCTGGCATCCCTCTCTTGAGATTAAACCGCGGACTCCCGCTTCCTCAGACCCATGCCGTCCTGGGTACTAGAGGTTTGGAGACAGCCTGTGCCTGTCTCAGATCACCTCTTCACTGTCCACTGCGTGCCACATTCCAGGCAGCACAGGGCTTGGATCTGGACCACTGGACCATGTGAAAATTAATCCTCCAAGCACAGCCTGTGACCCATTAAACCACTCTGCAGGGTAGTTAGGCCAAGGTCAGGAGGCTGTCAAACCAGCCCCATTTCTCTCGCAATGTCTAGCCCTGGCCTTTGCAGAGTCTGCCTGGGAGGAAGACACTGAACTAGAAATAATGGAGGGTCCTGGGCACCTGGGCTTTGAAACAGTGGTGGGAAGGCTGGGTTTGAGTAGACTGGCTGGTCCAACAGAGCTGTGTTCAAATCCTAGCTGTGTGTCCTTGAGCAACCAAATTCATGTCTTTGATTCTTAGTTTCCTCATCTTTCAAATGGAGATCGAAAGAGTGTCTGTGCCAGGAATCTCTGAGTCTTAAGAGTCAGACAACTCAACTCAAGCTTGCATAGCTCACAAATAAAGGGCGTTTCTTCGCTTAGGTGGCCAAGAAGTCCAGGGGTGGTCTGGCTTTAGGCAAGTCTTGCCGTTGTGGCTCTCACGAGAGTTAGCATTTGTTGAATGCTTTTTATGGATTAGTCATTTAGTTCCTCCACCACGCCTATGAGGTAGATATTATTCTGCTTCATGATGAGGAAACTAGGTCACAGAGAGGTAAAGTGGCATTACACTGCAAGTAAGTGGTAGCTGGGACATCATCCGAGGGTGTCTGGCTCCTGAACCATCACTCTAACCACTACGCCACACCGGGTGAGATTCCTCCTTTGCTGGCAAGGCATGAATGTGAACATGTATCTTCAGGGACAAAGAGGGAGTCCCAAATACCCAGCTCTCCCTGCTCCCACACTGCCACCGCACCACCACAGTTTGCCTTGAGTCCCAGGACTCATATCATGAGACGCTTTATCTCAGTGTTGCCAATAACCACCAGGACTCCAGATCCTAGGTCACCCCTCATCTTGAGCTTGCTAATCTTCAAAAGGCTCTATCATGCCTTCTTCTGTCCCTTTTCCACCTCTCCCTGACTCCGACAAACTTCCACTGAGCCCTGTGGATTTCACAGTTGGTTATCAGCAAAAATCCCTATATCTTGACTTCTTTCCTGTTTCAAACTCTCCTTTGAATTAGGCTTGCAGTAAACATGTAAAGAACATTTGTATAGTGTTTTATAGTTAACAGAGGTATACTTCTGTACTTTTATTTAATATTCTTGACAACCCTGTGAGGTAGAAATTAATATACCCATTGTAGAGACAAGCAAAATGAGACATAAGTGAAGATCTTAAATTTTAGGACATCAGCTCTTTTTATTCATCTTTGTACCCTTGCTCCCTAACATACTCTTTGGCATATAATAATTGTTCTATAAATGATGGCTGAATGTCTCCAAATAGAAAAGGCAAGTCTCAAATCCAGAACTATGACTTCATATCTCATGTATTTTCCCTATTAAATTAAACTTTTAAAATTAATTTTAATTACACAAGTATTGCATGAATATGTATCCATCCTAAAATTTAATGCACTACAGGTGAGTCTAACTTCTTCATGACCACCTTTACCAACCCCTCCATGGCCCCCAATCCCATCCCTTCTACAGGGGTAGCCTCGCTCATCAGTTTGGGGTTCTCCCTCAGTCCTGTTGCTATGCATTTGTGTTTTTCTCTGAATCACACTGTATCCAAGTTCATGGCCACCTTTGACTGACCATCCTGGAACATTACTGTTTTCTCTGGAAAATAACCCCACCTGTAACTGAAACCCAGGTTCGGCTGCCTGCTGTAAAGAGAGCCAAACTCGTGAGACAGGTGCTGGTGAGAAAGGAAAAAGGTTTATTCAAGTGTTGCCATCTGACAAGATGAGGGACTCTTGTCGCAAAGCCCATCTCCCCTCCTCAGTGTAGGCAGAGGTTTTTATAAGGCAGGAGATAGAAAGCAGAACAAAGAAATCAAGGAGAGGGGGTTAAAAAGTTCTCTACATGCAGGCCAGCACAGTCTATTCTGATAAGGACCTTGAAACTTGTCAAATGATGATCTGATGTGCATCCTCCTGGTTTCGTTTGAAGATCAGCAAATCTTTCAGAGCTGAAATGCCTGAAAGTCAGACACTGTATCTTCTGAAGTTAGTCCCTAGGATTCTTATACAACCATGCTGTTTAATCTACAAGCTGCATATTAGTCAGAGTCAGCATTTACAGAAACAATGTCAAAAACATGGTGGGGTGGGTTACAATTCTCCACTGTTACGCACCTGCTTCCTCCCTCTCTTTTCTCTGTCGACCTTGATTTTCTGTCTCTCTTTTTATAAAAACACCATAGTCATCTCACCAGCAATCGAACCACCCTCCTCTGCACAGAGGCCTCAAGAAGATTTATTTCCATCTCAGAATGGTTTGTAGCCTTGCCCCAGCCTTGTCCCTATGTCACAGGAAAAATCACCAGGGTTGTTTGGCTATTCCCTGATAGTGGCCTTGTCCCCTAAAAGAAATAGCTATGACCCCAAAAAAGGAGGAAGGAGAGACAGAATATTTTCCAAATGTAAGAGTATGAGGATGAGGTTGTGCAAGGGTGAAAAGTGGGCTTGGAATATTTTTCTTTCTTTGTTCACCTTCTGTGGTGACTCTTCACCCTACGGAGTCAGCAGTGCCCATTTATCTTCAAAAAAACAACTAAGCCAGCAACTAGGGAGACCTTACTCCAGTTTGTATTGGGACTGAGGTCAAAGCACGTGGTTGGCAGTGTAAGATTGCTGGCAAAAAAAAATGGATCTCTTATTAAAAATAAAATGGAACTCAATCAAAGAAATTCACCTGAAATCAGATTTTGTTTAAGGAGTGTGAAGAACATATTACTTGTGTATATGTGATCATTTACAGAGAAAAATCTGTATTTTTGTCCTCATAATGGTGGATAGTTTCTCCTTCATCCCAGGAACGTAGTAGGAAGCAGAAGTTTCCAGGCCCTCTTATAGCAGAGCCTCCCCCAGCCCCAGGACTTGAGTTGGGAGAGGCAACCTTTAGGGAAGGGACAGAGGAGAAATTTGAGAGAGCTTCCCCAGAGAACAAGAACTGTAGGACAGAAAAATTTTATGAGTTCCAGAAAAAGGGAGCAGGCAGGACCTCTGATGGGAATAATTATGGGCTGAGCAGAGGGAGTTCTGACCCCAGACACAGAGACTCTGGGCCTGGACAAGGATCTCCTGTGTTCATGCTTGGCTTGAAGGCAGCAGAAATGCCACCTTCAGGGCAGGCTGGGATGGTGGATCTGGCAAGTCCAGCTTGGGCTGACAATTGGTGGGTCTCTCCCAGAATGTTCTAGATTGCAAAAGTCCTCAGGACTTTTGCACACTCCTAGAGAGAGGAGGGCCTCAAAAAATGTGAATGAGATGGAAGTTTCCTGCAGCAAGGCAAGCATTAGATTTAGAGACTGAGCATTTCCTTATGCCAGATTATTAGGGAGTTCAATGAACACCCATTAAATAAACGCTGACTTTGACCCAAATAATTTTTATACTTCTTTTACTTTCAGTTTTTATCTCCATAGGTGTATTCCATTAAATATTTTACGAGATTCCAATAAAGCTGTGTCACATACAAAAATCTCATTTTATCCTCACATTGCACTTTGATGGTGAATAAGGCAGGTATTGTCTAATTTGCTGAAAACCCGAGAGAAATCTGATCCATAAAGGAGTCTTTCATGACTCTTTTCTGTGTCCTGGGAGGCCTACATTGGGCCCCATGCTGTTCCACTTAACCTTGAGACTGGCTACCAGCACTTCCAGTCTTGTGGCTTCTACCAGTCTTAGAATTAGCCAACATTTTGCTTCTCTAATTTTCATTCCTTTGATATGCCTTGACCTATGCACATGAGACTACCCTACAGCCTGTTTCTGTCCCCCATCAGTACTCCATGCCTGGCTGTTATCCCCATCAATTCTAATCTTGTTAACATGGGGACACTTCTGTTTCTTTGCTTCAACCACTGGTTCAGATCTAACAGACATTTAGTGAGCACCTCCTATGTGTCAGGCATTGTGTGAGGCATTCTCATATGGTCCTTCATTTACTCTTCTGTGGGAGGTATAACTGGCCCTGATTTTCAAATGTGGCATCTAAGGTTCAGAAACATTAAGGGCTATGCCAAGGTCACCCAGCTAGGAAGTGGTAGAACAAGGAGTCACATCTTCCTATTCTGGGTCTGAGTCTCTGTCCTGTGTTTAACCCCACTTGGTTGCCTTACACAGTTCCCAGGCTCTCCATCCATTTCCAAATAGAAAATAAGATAAATATTAAAAGGAAATCTATGCTGTATTTCTCTGAATCCCAATGGAATGTTAGTACCTGCCCTGTTTTAAAGTCATCCCAGGAGTAAGAACTCAGTTTTGACTAATATCTTAGACACTCCACTATAATGGCAGCCCTGGGTCTTACAGCTCAGTGTCCCAAAGTGAGTCTCATGGAGCAGCCATTGGATGGGATGTTTTGCAAACAAGGGATTCCACTGGCAAACAAGCTTGGGAAATGGGGCGTTAGGTAAAGCTAAACAGGATTTGACTCTGCATATTTTCTTACACAAACATGTGCAGCATTTGAATTGCCAAGGGGTGATGGGTGCATATTGTATATTGCAATGTTTCCCAAACTTATTTGATCATGGAACCTCCTCTTCCCTTTTAGATAGAACATCTCCCAGGACTGGGATTCGGCAGAGCAGGGGTTCAGAAACTCTGCTGCAGCTTCATTCAACTGAGGACATTTCAGCTTTTCCACATGTGCCCCTACAACCACCAAAGTGATCCTGGTCTCTAAAAACAGCCAATGGGAAAACTGAGCTGATGTGGCTTCCCTAGCAGGAAAAGTCCCTTTGTTCATATATAAAGATGATGGAGTTGACAGGTCACCAGTGGACACTACTGCTTCAGACAGGGTCCTAAATGATGATCAGAGCAACCCTCATCCTTCAGAAGGGGACACTGAGCGCAGAGAGAGAAACCACCTTGTCCTAGGTCACGCAGATGAGACCACAATCCCATTGTCCAACACTGGGGGATAAACCTCACTGAGTGCCACTTTACATACTTTATTTACTTTGCTTAACTTTTATGAATGATATGTGTACAGAATTTATATACTCTTCATAGTAACTGTCTATAAAGGTAGGGTTGTCTGATAAAATTTAGAACAGCCAGTTGAGTTTGAATTTCAGATTAACAACAATTAATATTATAATGAAAAACTGTTCATTACTTACTTGTATTTTTATTTGCTAAGTCTTACACTCTTGCGGCTCCATTGCTGGAATTTCAGCCAGTGTGAGATGTCAATATAGGAGATCTATTTGGGGGCAGGGATACCGTTCCAAAGCTACCCAAACTCATGCAATTGAGGCAGCACTTTTCTTGTCCTGGAAGAGGCCTTTCCAAAGGGTGGGCCTCAGTGACAAATCATTCTTCAAACTTCATTCTAAGGTAAGGTGGAGAGAGGGATCCTTGGAAGCCCCCTTGATGGAACTTGACCTTAGTACCACTTTGAAGAAATGAGAAGAAAATAACAACTGAAAGAACATGACACTTGCCCCATTATTAGCCATCTAGGTGGTGGAGCAGGTTTTTCCAGGTGTGTCCAAGTTGCCATGTCAACAGGCACATCAGCCTGCACCCACTCTGTAGTTTTCAGAGAAACCCTCTCCTCTTCCTGGTATCCTTTGCTCTGGGGATCAGCTTCCTCAGATGACCCTGAGTGAGTCTGCACCCCAGGGAAGCCCTCGGTTCCCTCTCTGTCTCTCAGAATCTAGAAACACCNACAGGGAAGCCCTCCGTTCTCTCTCTGTCTCTCAGAATCTAGAAACACCTCTGTAAGCAGGGATGGAAAGGAGACAAAAAATCACCAACTTGAGTGTCAAACCAAAGGTCTGCTGCTTCCTGACTAGGTGGCCATGGCAAATGTTTTAACCTCCCCAGGCCTCAGAAAGTGAGAATAATGATAGAATCTTTATTAGAGAGTTGGGTGAGAATTAAATAAAATAATGCATGAACATGCTTTAGGACAGTGGTGAATGGTCAATTAATAACTTGAGTGGTTATTAATGCTCTGAAAATTCAAGATATGGGATCATCCAATCCTTAGGGACACTCATAGATCTGGCATGTACCTGTCTCCCACTGTCCTCTCCCTTATGGCCCAGACTCTACTTTGCACATTTCTTAGAAAAGAAGTGGTTTTCTGCATGAGGTAAAGCCCCCCACTGCAGGAGGAAATTCAGGGGGGTGGAACAGACTGGGTGTTGTATTCTGATCTCTTTTATGACTCACCTGCTTTGACTTAGAAACTGCCTTTGAAAATGAAGACAATAAAACATTTCCCCTTTTACTGCCCTATCCTTATTTCCCAATTTATGAGGCTAGCAGGAGCTATGATTAGCTTGTAAACGCTCTGATCTTCCTTGCAAAATAGCATTGGACCGAAGTGATGAGGACAGCTGCAGTTTACTGGTATGAAGATTTGTTCAACCCTTCCCGATGCCTGGAACTGAAGACTGTTCTAACTGGACTCCAGCAGGTATAGACGGACATAGTATGAAGCTCAATCTTGAGAACCAATAATCCTAAGATTGGTATTTGCGCCTGAATCCATGTGTCTAGAAACATTTGTTGACATCAAATAGGCAGCGGAAAGATTGAGATGAACCTTTGGCAACCTCTCAGAGGTAGAGGAACTGAAGTAGGATTTTTGAAATTCTATGCAGGGTAGTGATCTTGGTAAACCACTTCCATTTTTAGCTGAGGCTCAAAAGGTCTGTGGCCTAGGAAAAAGGGTAAAATGGAAGTAAACCAGCTATAGCACCTACTGTAGCCAGTCTTTGAACCACCAGAGTGGCCTTCTAACCTCAGTCTTTGAACTTGATTAGTTGTTGTAGACAGATAGTACCCTCAGGGGTTTGATAGACAATAAGGAAAATCTTCTTTGGAAGAACATAACATCATCTTAGGCCTCAAATTATTTTAACAAATAGGTTTAAAAATACAATATCCAATAAGTAATTAAAGATAACCAGCACACCGAATGACAAGACACCATGAACAAGAGTAAACAGAAACAACAGAAACAGACCCATGGGAACTACTGTTGTTAGAATGATCAGAAACCAACAATAGAGCAACTGTACTTACTATGTTCAAGGAGATACAAACTAAGCTGAAAAATNCCAACAATAAAGCAACTGTACTTACTATGTTCAAGGAGATACAAACTAAGCTGAAAAATTTTGTCAGGAAACAGGAAGTGATAAAAAATTACATGGCAGATTAAAAAGAAAACCAAATACAAAATCTAGAACTGAAAATTATTAGAAGTAAAGTGGAGAATGCAATGCATCAGATTAGATACAGCTAAAGAAAGGATTAACAGCAGTGAATTGTAAGACAAGTCAAAAGAAAATCTCCAGAGAAAAGGACAGGGAGTCTAAAAGGTGTGAGCTACAGAAGAGAATAAATGACATAGAATGCTTAATTTAGGATTAATTAGAGTCCCAGAAGGAGCAAAGCGAATGGAGACAAGCTATCAATCGTGTCATAGTTGACAGTGAGCAAACAGGAGTTGATGAGCAAAAGGGAGGACAGGCCCATTTGTCAAATTCCTACTATGTGCCATTTGCTGTCCTGGGAGCTTTATATTCATTATCTCATTTTAAAGTGAATGAAAACATAAGGCATGCAGTTCTCTTCTTCCCTCTTAGATGCCTGAGAACTAAAAGCCTTGTAGGGATCTCCTCATAGAAGAACAGTCCTGGAGGAAGGAGAAAGAGAAAAGATGTTTTATGCTCCAGGGAAGGTCTTGATTTTCAAGCTCCACTGCAAACTCTGAGCTCAAGGAGGAGGGCGATCACTTAGTTGAGCAAGATTCTCTCCTGCTATATCCCCAGGCAATTAAAAAATTTGTAGTAACACAAGTTCTGCAAGGTCCTAAGAACCTAATTGTTCTCTTCCTATAGTCACAAACCTTCCAAGAAATAAATGTCCAGTACAGTAAAAACCATCCCCTTCTGGAAAGGTGAGAAGAGGAAAAGGGTTAAAATTTCATGAGACTGATTAAATTAGATTCAAAATGCTGTACTCGGTTATGCTCAGCCAGCAACCACTATGAGTATGCAATGCATAGCACATTCAATATTTACAACACTTTAAGCTTGTATTAGTCAGTATAATAATGCTAGGTGTTATAACAAATAAACCCTAACATTTCAGAAGTTAAACATAATCAAAGTTTGTTTTCCTCTCACTTAACAGTCCAGTGAGGGCATTCCTGGCAAAGGGGTGTTTTTTCTCCATATTGTGACTCAGGGACCCAGACCTGGAAGTGATACGCATCACTTCTGTTCACATCTCAGTGGTAAAAAATTGTGCTTGGCCACATCTGGATGCAAGAGGGACTGGAAAATGGAATCCATGGTTGGGCAGCTGCCTTTTACCAACAGCTTCACACTACAGAAGAGGAAGCATGGATTTTTGATGGGCAGCAAGCCATCTCTTCTGTAAAAGTATTATTATCAATAATAATACTTCATCATCATCATCACAATTATCATTCCCGATCTTGGATGGGGACACTGAGTCTCCAGTGCTTAAGTAACTTCCCCAAGGTCTGTAGCTGGTAAATGATGGAGGCAGGATTTGAACCTAGGTAGTCCATTTGCAAATTTCAAGTGCTTGCCACTGTAACCTGCTAGCTAACAGTGATGGATAAGATATAGCTCCCACTGTCAGGAGAAAGGTGATGTCAGGTGTGTCCTTGAAATCTCATTTTCAAGGACAAAGCACTTGAAATAAGCTAAATAAGCACTTGAAAAGAAGTACTTTCACAGTCCGTCAAAGTCAGAACTCAAATGCTGCATTCTCCGAGGGGTCTTCCTTGCTCCCCTTATCTTCCAACCACCCTGCACCCCCAGGCACTCTATTTCCTGTAATTTTGTGTGTTTTCTTCATAGCGCCATTACCATCTAAAACCAGGCACATATTGGTTTCCTTGTGGATTGACTAGCTTCCCTGCTAAAATATAAGCTCCCTGAAAGCAGGGAGCTTGTCTGTCTTGCTCACTTTATATCCCAGTGCTCATAAAAGAGCCTGGCACACAGTAAATCCTCAATACATTTTTGTGAAATGCATGAGTAAGCATATCTACAAAGTGCTGTCAGAGCAGATGGATTAATTTATTCACTCTCACATATGATTCATTTACTTACATATTCATTCATTCATTCATTCATTCATTCATTCATTCATTGATTCATAGACTCTTTCTCAAATGCCAGGGCCTGATCTGAGTATAGATGATAGTCTTTGGTCTAAGGGTAACTTGGGAAACCCTGAAGGCTTCCTGTAGGTGGTAATGTTAGAGCTGGAGCAAATGTTTAATTGTGAGTTGGGAAAGGGGATGTCATATTACTTCTTTTCACACTTTTACATCTTCATTTGATCTGTTACCAAATGCATTGCTCCCCCAGGTTTGTAAACTACTGTTGTTCAGCAAGGAAGACCAGCCTGGCAATCACTTTATGACTGCAAAGTTCCTGAACCATATAGACAATAAAAAGGCAGAGTATATACTCACAATGGGTCAAGGTGGGCTTGTCCTTTCTTTCTCACTTAGAGGGGACCAAGGACAGGTTCTGAGTGCACAGCAAAGGGTTAGCAGCTTTCTTTAGCCTATAAATAAAATCACCCAGCCATCTACCTGATGGCCAGACTATCTCAAATTCCTCACGCACAGCAAAGCTAATGTCACAGCTGTAAGCATGAATGTCCACAGGGAGGTTTTTTAAAAAAAATATGTGTTCATAGTCTACAATATTCTTTTTGGCCAATCCAAGACAATGGGTATGGCAGCTACTCCATTCCTGACACTAACGAATACGCTTAGATAATCACAAGTGACATGCCTGGCACGAATCAAAGTCAGGATTTGCTGCTGACGAAATGGGGTATTTGCCCTTTGCCTTAACAGGCCGCTCCAGCCCTGGCATTGTGAGCGCTGGCGCCGAGGGGACTGGATTAGAGCGAAGGCCCAGGTGTTCGCATCTCATAATTCGCAAGAACTGTTCACATCTTTTGGGGGACTTCTTTTTATAACCATTGCAATAAAATTTTAATGTCTGAGACTTAGAAAAATACAGACATGCAACAATGCAAACAAGAAAAATAAAAGTCACTTCCATTTCCAAGAGCCCAGAGGTAATCCACTGAGCATTCTGATACCTATTCTTTCATTCTTTCTCTGAGCATGTGTCTTTTTTACAGAAAAGGGATCCTTACCTCTTTGCAAACTGTTTGTTTTTTTTTCCGCCTCGTAACACACTGTATACATTATTCCATTCCATTTCATTCGACCAATCATTTTCTGCCAGGCTGTTTGCAATGGCTACAGATTATTATGCTATGGTACCGGTGGCATCTAGTTTATTTGAAAAACCCTGCTCTTGATGCACATTTAGGCTGTTTAGTACTTGCCCGTGATAACAAATGCCGTAATGATTATTTTTGAGATTAGGCATCAAACAGTGCACACACCTTTGAAGCATGACCCATTAAAAAGAATTAAAGTATAGTTGACATACAATATTATCTTAGTTTCAGGTGTTCAGCACAGTAATTCGACATCTGTATACCTTACGAAGTGATCACCATGACAACTCTAGTAACCTCCTGTCACCTTACGAAACGTGACATGTTTCACCAGCAAAATGGAGCAATCCCGGTGGCTCTAGCTGCGTAAGTGAAAACAAAGGCTAATTTAAAGCGTGTATGTGTGTGTGTGATATTACGATTAACTGCAAATACAAAAATGAAATACTTATTTTTTTGAATAGATCTACCCCAAATGGGTCATTTTTAACTCCAATTCCTTTTTCTTCTACCTGAATGAGAGAGGAAGAGGGGGGAGAGAGAGAGAAGAGAGAGGGAGAGGGAGAGAGGGGGGAGAG